TTACAAAAAGTTGTATTCATATTTTGTGTGTAAATTCACCCCCAGAAATATGTTAACGCTATTTGCGTACAACCTATGTAAGCATGCCAAAAACGAAATTTAGGGGAGAGGGGGGCCAGTTGGCATATTATTAATACTTTCAAAAGGAAGACATTTAACAGCTATATATATAATATTCACCAAATAAATACAACATTTTAAAGGGGGTCAAAACTTCGGGTTTAAGTTTAGCAGACGTCGACTATTTTTAGTTGTTTAGTTGTCATTTTACTCTCCTTTTAAAGCTTCTTGACTAAATATAATATTGGATTAAAAATGCAAAAAAACCTTTTTGGTTATAGAAAGGTCCAAGCTTCAATTTAAAAATTACAACATAGGGATAGTTGTTGGTATAGTCAAAATGGGGCATGTTAGCACTCTTACTTTTTCTACATTTTATTACAAATTATCAAGTGTTCATTAATATTGACAGATACGTACTTTTTGAAGTTATGAACATTTCCCCTTTCTGCTCAAAGGGGTTATTAATATTCTAGGTGGTGTAATTCCCAATAAAAATCCATGAAAATCAACGAAGTTTTTCATAAATTATTATTTTTTAATTAGGTCTTCCAAACGTTTTTTTTAATCACGGTTGAATAAAATGTTCAAGTTGTGTAAGTTGGGCAAACGGGGTGAGATGTTTTTTGTACGGGTATTAGTATAAGAAACGTATGGCAGACCCACCGGCAACGCCTTTCATTGATCTCCCAGGGTTATTTTACCCACTTTCAGTTCTCCTACGTATTCCGCCACTGCACAGCATTACCTGTGTTTGGTGGATCTGAATTTTCACTCCGGTTGGTAAATCTCGCCTAGGAGGTCGTGGATGACAGTGTCGATGATTAACACGTTCACTACCGCCGTGTTACAGCTGGTCGCTTGTAATGAACCAACTTCGACATCTTTTGAACCCATAAACTGGCGTAGGAAATAAACCTGAGTCACTGTAAATAAAGCCACAAAACTGAACCAGAGGCCACTTAACTGGCCGTGCTCGCCTTATAGACCGAAGACAACATACAAGTCACCACTTGTGACCCAGCTAAATTTATATTGCACCAAGTAAGATTCAATTTGAGGCCAGTATAGTGGCCGCGGTTCATGGTGAGCCAACCGATTGGCCACTATAGTGGACGCCGGTAGTGAACGTGTTAAGGCCACTCCCGAAATTTTGTCGCCAGGCTGGGCCATACGCCCGATTTAGGCTAGTGGAGTGCGGGACAAGGAGGGAAAACATTTTGGTTTTTGGGTGACATTGAACTGACCCAAAACCAAGTACAATCTGGAATCCCCCTCAACCAGGGATTTAGTAATGCTCCCATTCATTTTGGGTTCATGAATGAGGTTTGGTAGGTTAGTACTACTAGGACCTATCCTTGCTGGTTTTGTAGTCTGCTGAAATTCGGAAACTGTTTTGGGCAATTGTTTGCCCCATTGTGCAAAAGTCGTCTCTTCAGTGTAGAGGTCGAGCACTATGGATAGATAGTTGTCTTAATTTTATGGTAGAAATTGTATTTAAATTTTCTTTTCTAACAATTGGTTAGACTCGTTTGTTCTTTACATGAAGTGATTCATATTGGCCTGGGGTTAGATTTCGCACCTTTTATATTTAAAAATAATATATTAAATATTTTAATTTAAATGTACTTGAAAATGTTAAAAACTTCTTATTAAATTACCAAACAAACAAAATCACAAAAAATATTTAGTAATAAAATATTCTAAATAAAACAAACAAAACCATATAAACAATATAATAACTACAAGTGGTTTTTAGTGACGTACTCTCTAAAAATGAATTACCTAGTCAAAAATTCGGGTTCGCCGAGCCGATGCTATACGCCCAGTAGGGTATAGAGGAGAAGGGACGGGAGGGATAGACGTTTGTTGGTTTTTGGGGGACAATTACGCCGACATAAAACTAAGTACGACGCGGAATCCCCCTAGACCAGTCGATTAGTATTACTCCAAACATTTGGGATTACTATTTGGAGTTGGGGAGTTGTTATTTCGCTGCAGGGGTGTAGTTTCCTAGTCGAGGTCTTCGTCTTGTTCGTTATTATCATTGCCCGTGTCCTCAATCTTGATGCCGAAAACCATCAATAGATAGTTCAGTAGCTGGATATGTAACTTGTAGCTTTTGGTGTTATTTTTTAATTGTTTATTGCCGCAGTAGTGCGAAATTTCTAACAATTTTTTTTTTAGTTATTGTGTTGCCCAAGCACGTTTTGTGCTAGAGTTTTGTTTTTTTCTTAAATTCCAAAATTAAGTATTGCATTTATTTATTAGTTAAACAAATGACAAGCGCAATTATTCTGTTATCTAATGTTTACAAATCCAGTAGAGTTTGGTTATTATGCTTTTTCTACTATGTTAGGGTTATAATAATTAATGTGTTACTTTAATCTGTGTGTCTAGTGTTTATTATTGGTCTCGTTTGGGTTTGCCTTACGCATTTGTTGTTGACAGATTTATTGTCCTACGCAGTGTGCCTTTCTTAGGGTTTTAAAGGTATCTGTCGTGTTTAATTTTTAGATTATGTGTTAGGTCATGCATATGCTTAAAATTACTTATCAATTTTTTGCGGATGGCCACCTCCCCTCTTGTTTGACCTCCTTTGTTTGTCCAGTGAAAAGCGTCCAATGACAGGTGGCACATTTTAAACATTATTGTTGGTTTTAATCTTTAAACTTTGACGTTTTAAGAGCTCTCGCTCTCGCGTGGTGCCTTCTCAAGTGCTGGAACCTGACTTTAATTCCATATTATATGAAAAATTGACTATATCTCAAAAACTGTTTAACTTTTATAACTTTTAACGACATTTTCGAATTTAGCGGACAATTTTACATAGGAGTTGACTGCTACATGTCCGGGATACAAATTGCTGTTGACGATAATTATTATTCATTTTTAGAGAGTAAGCTCGTTACCAAGTCATGCACTGTGTACATAGACAACTGTTAAACTTTGCTACCGTCAACTGCAACTATCAAACAAATACTAAAAACATTATGACAATTTCTCTCCTTTTATTTTGATACTCGTATAAAAAAATTAAGCTGCCAATATCAAAGCGGCATGCCGCCGCAAAAGGCGCTTTATAGCGGCCTACTCAAAGAAAGGCGGTAACCTTTATCCTGTGTATGTTTAATTATTTGTTTATTTGCAAGTTTATCGTTACAAAGTACTGATTGACTCTTTGATTTTGCGCCCCCAAAATGTTGCGCCTGCGTGCGTGCACGCACTGCACGCTCGCCAAGAACGTACGAATCTAACAGAAAAAGAGCTTGTGTTTGGCGCAAGGAATTACCCTGAAACAGCCATTTAATCATGTCAATTTTGTCTGATATAACATTATAATACAGGGTGTCGTTATTATTCCGCTTCCGAAATATTCACAAAAATACCATATTTTTAAATAAAACACCCTATATATTTTTACATATTTTGAAAGACAACTTAATTTGGATCAAAAAATTATTATTAGATAACTACTTAAAAATAAACATTTAAGCAATTAAGCTCTTAAACTATCTGATTGTTGGTAAAATAAAGAACTAAGTTGGTTATTTCATCAACCATCAGAAAGTTTAAGTGCTTATTAATTGTTTATTTTTAAGTTTATGGTAGTTATGTAATAATATTTTGTTGTTTCAAATTAAATTGTCTATTAAAATATGTAAAAATATAGGTGTCCTATTTAAAAGAGTTTTTTTCGTAAATGTTTTGGAAACCCGACGTTCAGTTGTTTTTCTGTTTTCACCATTTAAATCAGAAGTAAACCTACCACCAATTTGCTAGTTTAACCGACTTTTTAGCTACACAAATAACGGAGTTATTGGTGAACAGAAAACTTTGGACACTGTGTATACCATGGTTTAATAAAATATGTATGTAAATTTATTTGAAATCTATTAGTATATTTGTGAATTTTTTATTATTTGTTAACACGTTAGTTGCCATGTGTATAAAAAGGTATACACACGAGTCGGGTCTAGTGCGCAATGTGTATGATTTTGTATACACGCACAATAAAATTATTTCAGCTACGTGTAGGTATGTGAATAGAGGATGCTTAACATGGGTTTTATATGTTAGAATGATTGTCGTGGCGTGGATGTACACTGGTAGGCATTTAGCCAAAATTTTGTATTAGGTACAAATTTTTAAGATGGAAAACCCTTAATTCAAAAATATATATTGTCAAAAATTGAGCCAAAAATCAATTATAAACAATAAACAAAATAATGCTGAACAAAAATAGTAACTATAATAATGATAAAGTTCAAAAACCAATATCTATTTCTTTGATGTTATATTGTGGGTTGCAAAGAAACATTCTATGCACATAAGGGGTTTTCCGAATGGTTTTTCTAGGCATGACTGACTTGCGACTTGCTTGGTTTTGCTTATTGCATATAACCGGCCACGAGTGTCCTTATTTCGTTGGTAACATATTTTGCAACGTCCTTTTTATTGCCCTATATTTATGTTCTTAAGTTACCTTACTAGGTATAGTGATATATACAGGGTGTCCAGAAAATAGTCGGCAATATACTCTACTCGTGGCAAAACAAAAATAGGAAGAAATCTTCTTATAATATAAAGGTCGACAAATGGCTCCTAAGGATGCTACAGCCTCTTAAAGGGGCGCCCCTGAAGATGGTTTTTTATTATTATTTCCAAAACGTTTTGAGTTAAAATAATTAAATTTGTTATGCTTACTTAACTTTTTATGCTAAATTTACAAATAACATTTTCATTTTTTATTTATGAGTATATTAAACAGGCCTAGGATATTTTTAGCCCTTGTAGTATGTTTGAGTATTGTACACCCTTTATAATATTCGATTTGAATTTTAAATCAAATCGAATATATTCGGTTCTGTTCGAACATTATTCGCACATTCCACATTGTATATACTTAAAAATTTATAACTTTAACATTTTTATTGCAGTTGTAAAGAAAACGTCGAAGGGCGGACCTGTAGCACATGTAAACCGGGTTTTTATGCATTTCCCCATTGTGAATCCTGCGATTGCAATCCTATTGGAACAAATCCCGAAATATGTGCTCAAGATACAGCTGAATGTTTCTGTAAAAAAAATGTTGTTGGTCCCCAATGTGATTACTGTCGAGAAGGTACCTACAATTTGGATGTCCATAATGAAGACGGATGTACTGAATGTTTTTGTTTTGGAAAAACGTCAAACTGTATGAGTTCAATGTATTCTAAATTTATTATTAAATACACCCAAAACTGGAAAATAGTATCAATTAAGCTTAATGGAATATTGGAAATTAGTAATATTAATGTGCCTTTAGAATATTTTGATGAAGCTATTGGTGCTGATTTTACTACTGCTGACTTAAATACAACAAATTTATACTTTTCTGCCCCTTCTGCATACATTGGCAAAATGTTATTATCTTATGGAGGGTACTTAAATTACACCATTTTTTATACAATTGGCGAGTTTGGTTCTGCCGTTAATGGTGCTGATATTATTTTAAAAGGAGCTAATAGCTATTTAACATATTCAAGTCTAGAACAACCAGCTGTTTCCCAAGAATATCAAGGATTTGTACAAATATTGGAAAGTAACTTTAATTTGCCTCATGGAGTACCTTCAAAAAAAGAGCATATTATGGAAATTTTAAGGGATCTTAGAGGGATATACATAAGGGCCACCTACTGGACTGCCAGCATTACTACAAGGTATTTTTTCTTACTTGTAAATGACTAATTTTAAATGTAAATATTTTGAAACCAGCAACCCAATAACATTTCACAGTAACTATGTTTTTATTTAAATAAATCAATTTACATTTAACTAAATGTGAATTAAAATTTCCTAATTATTATAGTCGTACCCATGAGTACGACTACAATATACATATTAATCCTTTACCTGGAATAAATTTCCAAAAAAGGGTTTTAAACATGTTGAGTTGATAATTATAATTAGTAATTAGATAATAAGTAAATTTTATTATTAATTATACAAATATATCCATATTTAAAATCTAGGCCCAAGGTCCTATTAAACAAAAAGTCTTCTGATATTACCGGGAACCTTATACAGTGTAAGTTACCAATCCTACCATAGTGCTTAAAATGATCAAATTCTGGGTAAGAAATAAATTATACCAAAAAATTGTTAATGAGCGCTTTTGGTTCATGGAATCTCTTTTCCTAAAGAATGTGATGAACATTTTTTGTTTTATTTTGTAAATGGAACCATTTCCCCCTTAAGGTATACCTTCCCATATGAAAATTAATATTTAGGGTCTTGCCATTGAATTGGTCTGTAACGATACTTAAGATCCGAAATATATTTTTTTTACTCACGATATTGTCTGCTTATGTAAAGTAAAGTACCTCTTATTATTTTAATGATATAATATATGATTAATTGTTATTTTGAAAAATGAATGGCTACAGTTAAAGCCATTTGTAGATATTTTTTACTACTCCAATTAATAAATTCTGTATGCCTTATCACAAAAAATCGTTTGGTATTTAGGATCCTGCATAAGCATTAAAAAGTTTTAATAAGTAAAAATAAGAGTTTTATAGGTCTCACTTTCTCTTAAAACTCAAAATAAGACTTAGCTTACTAATAGCGAGGAAGAGTTATTCTGACTTAATCACAAACAATTATCCGTCGGCCGCATGACGGCTGATGGTTACAAACGATCCTGACGTCGCGACGCACACTGGTCAATCGGCGGAAACAATAGGTTTTTATTTTTGATAATTTTATGACGTCAATTTGTTAAAAACACCTTAAACCATTAGGTTTTGGTTATTACAAAAATTAGATTACTTCTGTTTTAAATTTATGAACTCTCAAATAGAAAGTTTTTAAATTTGGCTAAAAATGACGCTTACATTTAATGATTTAATATTTTTTAAACGACCACAAAGAATTTTTTTTAATTAACGCTTTATCTATTAAATAATGACAATTTTAATAGTGCATAAAAGTGCATAAGAAAAAGTTATTTATTTGTCGCGCAGCATGGATAAATGGCGGCAGCTTGTACTATTGTTAAAGCGGTTTTATATAAACTGCGCACCACTCAATGTGTCGCGACCAAAAAGTTCGTTCTTTTTCAAAATGACATAACTTTTTTGTATCTTGAACGATTTTATTTTGGTCTCTGATGTCTGCTAGCCTCATCCTCTGGCAATTCGTGCTATAGAAATGAAGCTTCTTCAAATAAATTTCCTACAGGGTGATATGTTAAACGGTGAAAAATTTCAATAACTTCATCCAAGCCCCGTTTGTAAAAAAATATTTTTTTTTTCAAGCGGCCATGATATACAACGTTATATGCATGTATAGATATAGTTAAAGTACGTCTTTTTCATTAGCGGCAGACAAAAAACTCAAAAAAGCCTAGGGATAGAAGTAAATCCATAGGTGACTCAATAGACGTCAAATAATAAAATTAATTTAGCATTTCATACAAAGCAATCACGATGTATTAATTATATTAATTATAATCGCACGGAATATTTAGTGATTATTTATTAAATTTTAATTGAACGAAATAAAGAACAACTAGTTTATTAGTATAATATAATGATGATAGACGAGTCGCCAATGTCGGAACTCAAAACAAATGTCAGTACGTCAAAATTAATTCAAGCGCAGCATTTTGACAGAGCAGTGTTTATTTTTAGTTTAGGATATTTATCGGCATTGTAAGTAAGGGTTATAAGTTACTTTTTATCAATAATTTGTAATGCTTTTAGCCAAAATTTTATACCACATGAGTTATAAGTAAATAAAATAATTCTATTGCTTATCTTATTTATATTACGCCCTTGAAAAAAAAATTGTATATGTTATTTGGAGTAGAAGCTCTTTTTGTGCTTCGTACAGTTGCCTGCCTCAGCTACGCTTCGGCCGTCAATCTCTGTACTCACCACAAAAAGAGCCACTTCTACTCCTTATGACATAATCTACTATTTTTCGTTTTTACTTTGAAATATTGAAGTATTATTATGTCTTACCTTGAAACATGTTTCAAATTTTTCGAATTGGAATCTTAGCAGCAAAAATATGATTTGTTTTTCCAAAAAAGTACATTTAAGGTTTTTTTGTAGGCAATACACTCAGACTTTTTAGGAACAAGAAGATAAGATGGTGAAAGATTGTTTCTTAAATAATTCTGAACAAGCGACAAGCAACAAATTTCCATTATTTTCAGAGGGCCTAAGCAAAGAACACTTCTTCAAAATGACATTTTGGTAAAAATTTGCGAAAACTAAACCCAAACCGATATTTATGTTCGTGGCATGTTTTCTTCATAATTTTGACCTCCTGATTGTGATTCCCGGCTGTTAAATGTTTCAATAAAATACGATTGCTGGTTTTTACTGTTGCATCTTTAGTACGTTATTATCATGTCGCTAAATGATCAAATCGAGGATCAAATGATAAAAATTAGTTCTTGAAAAACATTCAAAACGCATTATGAGGGATATTCTTGATTTATTCAGTTTGCTTGTGTTTTTCCAAATTTCCAAGTTTTTTGCATAAGTTATACCTACCTACCTACATGCCTATCCCTTACCCAGGTTACTTCCATTCTTCCTTTAAAATTTCCGTTGATTTGAAGATGTTAATTCCCGTACTGCAGCAAAGTCTGGCATTTGAATTTTAATCATTTAAAAGTTTAAACGATTAAAATGCCAATTCCAGACTTTGCTGCAGCTACGGGAATTAACATCTCCAAATCAACAGTTCGCAGAAGATTTAAAGTTTTTATTGTTTGTTACATTTTTTTGTTTAAAATTGTAGTTTTGATTATGATTATAACTTCGCATAAAATTTTCAAAAATGAACAAAAATATTTTTATTTAACTTTATTAACAATTAGGTAGGTACTTATCAGTGATAAGTTATCACTAGTGCGCAATGTAAATATAAGTTATAGTCCAGTCATCTCCATGCTTAAAATACCCCATAGAGACCCATGGGTATGCATACAAAATAATCTATCGGGCGCTACCGGATTCAATATGTGCATTTGTCCATGGTTTTTTCCGGATACGGCCCGATAGAAAATGTATAGGAAATTACCTATAGGATTACCATAAATTTTACATTTTCCCTATTGAGACCGATAGCAAATAACTCAATGAAGGATATATAGGGATATCCCTATAGAGCAACCATAAAACATTTGTCAAAATTTTATTAAAACCTATAGGGTTCTATGGGGAAAAACTAATTTCTACATTTATGTGTATTTTCCCCATTGAAATCAATAGCAAATAAATCAAGGGTGGATATCCCTATATAACAATCATAAATCCCAACTATGGGTCCTATACATACCGATACACCCTATAGAATCCCATACATTCCGATACGGTTTGAACAGGGTCTCTATGGGGTATTTTAACAGGGCGAGGCATTTCACCTCGGAATCTAACGGAATAAGCTGAATTTTTGTACAAACCTTTATTTTAGCATTGCAAATGTTGTCTCAAAAGTCACATATGAAAACGTGTGAGCGGCCTTCAAGGTCAAAGGTCGCAAAAATCAATTTTTTGAGAATATCTCCTTTTCTCTGCCTCCTATCGTATTTGCATTTATTATACAAGTTGTAGAGAATAAAATTGTCTACAAATTTTGTTTAAAACATTTTTTTATACGTCGAACCGTTTTTGAGATAGAGGGCGCAGAGTGTGGAGCGCTCAGCCATACGTACCTTTAGCGCAAGGTAAATCGTGAATCCTAATCTATTATACCGTTTTTTTAATTAATTATTTATTAAATATTACTTAAATAACAATTTAAAACCTTATAATATAATATAATATTATTTATTTTTATATATTTTTTTAAAACATATAGTCATTAAATATTACTTACTTTTGACATACAAATAATTAAATAATGAAGTGAATCATTCTAAATATATTCTAATGTTATTCTAATTAATGATAAATGCATTTTAAGAAGAAAAGATATTAAATTAATTTGCCTTGAATATGTCTCTGGTCATCTCTTGGATCCAGATATTGCTTTTAAAATAACAGACCTGGAAATACTATAGTGGGCTTGCTATAAATAAAAAGGTTAGGTATACCTATATTTAAAGCAAGTTGTGACCCTAGGGTTGTGACAGATAATATTCGTAATATTTTAAAGGTTAACATGGCTGATTTGTGTTTTATTTGTAATAAGTTACTTTCTGAAGGTGATTCTGTGACTTTTGTGCGCGGTATAAAGACTTTAAAAGAAGCAATTATTGAGAGAAATAAACATAAACTACCTGAATACTTTGACTTCTGTGAACGTTTATATTGAGTGTCGAAAATTGTACTCTATAGCGTACTATAGTAAAATTGCAGCAGCAAAACGTCGCCTTAAAGAGACGGAACCTTCAACGTCATCAACTGTACCTCGTAAAAAAGGGAATGATGTGTTTGATTTTAAAATATTTTGCTTATTTTGTGGTGGTCGCAGATGAGGCAACAAAGGCAAAAAAATCTGCAAAGTACAAACGCGTTATAAGTAAGTTTTTGAAGATATGACAATTAATGTCAATGATAACGAGGAGAGTGATGATGAGAATGAGTCTAAAATTGCTGGCCAACCTGAAGAAGATGAGGATGAAGAAGATAAAGATTAATAATATTAATAATAATAATAATATTGATATAAATAAAAACATTTTTTCCTACTACGATCC